ATTTTCTTTGATTTAGTTGTAACCGGATCTATAAAAGGCCGGATCTTTGTAATCCAAGATGACAATTATTTCAATGAAGAAAACAGTTTTCCCCGCGAACAATAACACATTATAAAAATTTATAATGTGTTATATATCACTCTATTTTTTTAAAAAAAATTTTCACATATTTTCACATCACAAACTTAAATAATCACACATACTTATAGCACGAATGAAACTTAAATGAGTATAAACTTGTAAGTGTTTAAAACTCAATAATGATTACTAGTGTTGTTCAAATGAATTAACATGTAGTTGAGTTAGGGTTTTCAGAATTTAACTCGTTTATTTTTTATCATAATTAGGGTTTTAAACCAAATTCAACAATAACTAATAATAAAATTGAAATTTCTAAAGCTCAGTAGAAAAATCATACCTTTTAAACTGATTCAACAACGGACACGCCGGGGAGGCTCGGGAGGGTGGAGGTCGGGAGGGGGGGCTGCCGATTGAAGATTTGCCCTAGGCAAACTTGATAGTTTGCCCTAGGCAACCTAGACGGAATTTCCGTCTAGGTTGAGTCAACCTAGACGGAATTCCGTCTAGGTTGACTGTTCCGTCTCGTTTGTCAAACTAGATGGAATTTTCCGTCTAGTTTGATCCAAACTAGACGGAACAATCTAGACGGAAATTTTCCGTCTAGTTTGCTCCAAACTAGACGGAATTTTTTTCCGTCTAGATTGTTCCGTCTAGTTTGGTCGCTTTTCTACTAGTGTTAATTTAAATTAAAAAAAAATTCTCTCTCGTGCATGGCAAGTGCCAATTTTCTAGTTGTAATAAACAACCCTACTTTTTAGCCAATGCTTTCTTAACCAGTATCCTCATAGCAACGATGGGGAAAGAAACCTTCCTTATGAGAGTTAGACTACTGTGTCTACTGGTAATTGACAGTCTAACTGCACCCTTAACTTAAAATTTAAAATTTCTATTTTTCCACAAAAATTTATTTGTGCCAATTTTCTAGTGATAATAATAATAATAGAAAACCCTTCGACTCGTGCATATACGCATGATAAACAAGGGGTTTACCAAATAATGTATCTCTTACTTGACGAGTATCCACAGAGCAATAATTGAGAATAAATCGTCCTTTATATTTGTTAACCTTTTGCTGACATCCTAACTGCTGTCTCAGTTTAAAATTTAAATTTTCTATATTTTTTTCCGTTATGCGTTGAATTAATCTAGTGATAAAAAACCCCCTAAACCTTCTTTAATATGAGTTAAACTTATGCTAATTGACATCAGCGATGTAAGTTCCACATTCGAACATGCCTTGGCTCTGAGGCAAGCATGAACCCAGCTCCTGATTTTTGTATTTGTCTCCATTAATTTAGCATGGAATACGATATTCTTATCTATTCAATAAATGTCTGCTAATAGAAAATACTTAGTCATTTTTAGATGATGAATCTTGTTGTGCCAATTTTTTTTTGTCCTCACTTTTTGACGCCCTCTTCTTGAAGCCATGCATATGCAAGAGATAAAAGGCCGTACAATCATGAGTGTACGTAATGTTCATCTCAACGCTCCACTTATCTTTTTGTTAGCAGGAAATTGCTTCCACACTAAAACTACAGAAAATAGTCCTGTCTAATTAAAGCTTGACATGTTGTGGGACCATAATATGGAGAAGTTAACCAGCAACTGACCTTACTTGTTTTTGTTTGTGTGCACCTAATACTTGATGTGTTGATTCTGAAACTGGCCTTTTATTTCTTTTTTGGGTTAACGATACACGACGTGAGATGTCTCACCAGGCGAATTTGAAAGCAACTAAAATTCAAATGTCATCCGATTCCTCGTTTCTAACTAAGAAACACCATTGCTTATGGAGTCTTTGATGCAGGGTGTATTTGTTTGGTGCATCCTTTTGCTTTGGATGTGATTAAGAGTTATAAGCTTGCGCACGTGCGACCAGTAATAAACAGGTAAAAAAGAGAAGAAAAACATTAAGGCCTGAGAAACAATTTAAACATGAAAGATGATTGGGATAATTTATCTGGCGTGTTTACAGGACAATTACTGTGGATTGTTGATGATCCAATCAATACATTTTAAGAGTATGTGGTAGGCAAAATCTGCAAGCGCACAAACTCGTTGTAGCTATCAAGGTCGATCCCACAGGGACTAGGGTTAATTACCAAATCTCACGTTATTCGACTAGCTAAATCTAATGAGTAAATTAGAAGAGATAAAAATTAAAAGAAATAAAATAATAACTAATCAGGTGGAATTCAATATAATGAAGAGCCAGGATTGGGTTTTTACCACAACTTCGATGCTCAATGATGAATTATATAATGAAGAGCCAGGATTGGGTTTTTACCACAACTTCGATGCTCAATGATGAATTATTTTAGTTCTCAGTGTTGGTTTAAACTAAAAAGGGTGTATTAGCCTAAATTAATCTAAAGCCTCTTTCAAGGTCTAAAGATTGTGCCTAATTAATCTCAATTAACCTACTTTCGTGGAATTAAGATTAAGTTAAACCCATTAAGCTTTATGCTAATTCAAATCAAATCCCCAAGGAATCTAGCCTACTCGTGGTTCGAGCTCCCTGCTTAATTTCTAGAGATCCGGTATTAATCTTCACCTTTCAGTCCTTCAATTAATTACCTATGATTGCTAATACGGTGATCAAGCGAATCAACAAAATTAAAACACTAGAAATCAAGTTCAAAGATTTAAACTTTCACCAAGAACCTATATCAATTCATCATCAATCACCAAAAAGTTGGGTTCTTTCCCAATCCTAGACAAGAAATCTACTCACACATGATTGGGATAAGAGAATACATCAAATAATTATGCAAATCAATCATAAGAAGAAATAAATCAAAGAGAGGAAAGAATTAACCCGTCTTTCAA